CTGGTGGCCCGGAGAGGAGTTGTGCGTTTCTTCTTCAGGGGCACCAGCAGTCCATGAACTGCTGGTGCCCCTGAAGAAGAAACGCACATTTCCTCTCCGGCCACCAGCAGCTGTTGTTTGAGCTGCTGGCGCCCCGGAGTACAAGTCACCAGCAGCCAAGAGCTGTTGGTGACCCAGAAAGGAAATAGAACCGTCGGTGGTCTAATCTGTCTAATGTCTTTCACCAGATAGCCTCGAATCCAACCCAAGCACTAGGCAACAGTGGCGCTTCTATGGCTTTCTGACTGGCTACCTAACCTCCATCTCTGGGCACCGCTGTGGAGTCTTCCAGAATCTCACAATCCAGGAGGTTGAAGAGGCCTCCAGAAGCCCCGACGAGTCTGCTTATGTCATTAACGTGAGTATGGCGCAAGTAAGGTGGGGGTCACCAGTAGCATGCTCTCTCTCTCACTCACTCACTCACTCACTCACTCACTCACTCACTCACTCACTCACTCACTCACTCACTCACTCACTGCTTGTTCTCTGATGGCAGATTACCACTCACAAAACAAACAGAGCCTTTGGGGCGGCTCAGCTGTCCCTAAACAGGGAGGAATACAGCTGGTTCCGCAGGTTTTTGGCGCTGCGGGCTGGTCTCCCCGGAGGGAGCCAGGCTACCTATTTCTTTTTCACTTCCAGAGCCAGTCCTTGTCGGACCCTGAACAAGTACTTTCAGTCTGCTTGGCTCAGTATGGGCCTTCCAGGCAAACCCACCTTTACTGACGTACGCACTGCGATCGCGACTCATGTGAGTAGGCATTGTGACGCCCCTGTAACTACCAGCGGCGGCTTCTATCCTAATCAAACTTCTGTCTCTCTCCGATGCAGGCAAAGAATGCACACTCTTCAGAGGATCGCCACAAGGTGGCGCAATTCATGTGCCATGACACTTCAACCTCAGATAAGTTCTACGCACTTCACCTCGGACCTCTCCAAGCACGCGAGCGCCGCAGACTCTTTGAAAGGGCCCTGGTGGAGGAGGAGGAGGAGGAGGAGGAGGAGGATGGGGAGGCAGCGGGCACTGAAAGCCCCCCGCGGAAAGGGCGCAAGAGGACGGAGACTTCCGTCTCTCCCCTGGTAAAAATCACATTCTCTTTGGCGTGGACAGCAGAACGTGTGGCATTGGCTAACTTCCCTTTATGTGTCTCTTTTCCAGGAGGGAACCAGCAGGAGGACGCTGCCATGGCGCCCTGCCAAAGGGAAAAGCCAGGGCGCTCGCCCGCTCGAACAAACAGAAGACTCTGAATCGTCCTGAATAAATATTGTACAACTTAACGGTCAAATGGTGTTCAGTGTCTTCATTATTCCTTTTATTTATTATCTGTGTGGTAAAAGTAAATTCAGTGGGGACAAAAATGAGCCCTGTCTTCTTAGTTCAACGCTGTATGCCTGCTGCGTCCAGGTCCTGCCTTGGCTACGTTCCGATTGGGACAGATTAGCCCTAACTTGTGTGTTAAAAGTGTCACGTGGGATGCCCTCGTCCAGGTTCTGCCTTGGCTACGTTCCAATTGGGACAAACTATCCCTGCCTTGAGTGTTAAAAGTGACTCGCGGGACGCCCCCGTCCAGGTTCAGCCTTGGTTGATAGCTCATAGGGAGAATGAATCCCTTTTCCAGCACAAGGGGGTGATGGGCTGGACAAATCTGTCCAGGTCTGCAAATGCTTTGAACGCCCAGAAGGCCTTGAGTCCAATTCTGTATATTAGCAAGCTTCTCCCGGGACAGCTCGGTCCTTAGAGATGCATGAATAGGTCAGGACAGGGCAGCTGTGGAGTGGAGGTTAACTTTATGGAGGAAGGCGAGCGTGTGAGGAAAGCAGTGTAGCTCACATCAATGCAATTCATCAGTAAATCAAACACCCTTGACCCCTGCGATTTTATTTTCACCACTGAAGTGAGGCAGAATATCTAATTAGCATTACATGTGCATCGTTTGTGGCTAAAATTGTATTTATTCACTCTTCACTGCATCAATGCTGTTCTCATATTTGTTTTGTGGCTGTTTTTTAGGCCTAAGTTATCTACTTTTCATCAACAGGTTTAGTTATAGATTAGCACTGGTTCATTTGCAAACGAAAAGCTACAGGAAGCTGAAGACATTTCATTCAACAATGACCAAAATAGAGGTCTTTTCTCAAATTAAAGATTAATTCAGAGCTTACTTTTAGTTTAATAGGCCTATTAATCAACACGTACAGCCTAATACTTAATAAATATTAATATTATTTTCTATTTTATCAATGTCAATTTTGTACATACATTCAAAATGCAAACAAATAATAAAATATACATCGCAATAATTATATAAATTCTATAATGTAAATAATTATATGAAAAAAAAGAAAAAGGTTGGATTTACGTGATTAATCAGAATTGGTTTACCGTAGGTCTAAATGTGCTTATGAAGCTAACAGTAGCATACACAACATAGCATGCTAAATGCTAAGTCTAAACAAAAGCTTAATTCGATTGGTCTTCCTACACAGTTTATGCTAGTATATTACATATTAGGCAATGCAGTGGGTAGTGCTGTCGCCTCACAGCAAGAAGGTCACTGGTTCGAGCCTAGGCTGGGTCAGTTGACGTTTCTGTGTGGAGTTTGCATGTTCTCCCTGCGCTTGTGTGGGTTTGTAGTTTAGTTTATGAGTGTCCGTAGTTTATGAGTGTAAAGGCAATACCTAGATTTAATATTTTTAATACTTGCTGTAATTTTGTTCAATATTAAATCTGTTAAGCTTATTAATAATAATAGGAATAATACGTTCTTAATGCTTATGATAATCTTTTTTTCTTAATAATTGAGGCTATGCAAAGTTTTTTTTCCCTCTTTCTTAATTGTTTTGTTATTTTTTGCTCTTCAATGCAGTGATGTCATTTTTCTTGTATTTAATAAAAAAAAAAAAAAACTAGTGAACATCTCTCCCTCATTAGCATAAACAGCCCTGAGTGACAAGCAGCCATCTACCATTAGATTTTATAAGCTGCCACCATGCTGATACATGGGTATCTATAGCTCCGCCCTCTTTTAAAAAGAGCACAATCTCATTTGAATTTAAAGCGACAGTCACTAAAATGGCACAATACCAGCTGACCACTTATCTCCGTGTGGACGGCTTTTCTGATGTTACCAGTGTGCCCAGTGGCTTGCCGCGTACATTGGCGGACTTGGGAGGTGGAACAGAGTTGACCGTGATGATGGGGTACAAGTCTGGTGAAAATGTGTTCCAGAAAGCGGGTAAAAAAATAAATAAACAAGTAATTAACAGGGTTAAAATGTAAGATTTGAAAATGCGGTAAAAATCGGGCGGCCGCGAGGGCTTTTCTTTTTCTAGTTTGCTTTTGAAAACACTATCGGTTGGTTTTAGGGAAGGAGGTGGGCGGGTCAATTGTTGCTTTTGAAAACACTATCGGTTGGTTTTAGGGGAGGAGGTGGGCGGGTCAATTGTTGCTTTTGAAAACACTATCGGTTGGTTTTAGGGAAGGAGGTGGGCGGGTCAATTGTTGCTTTTGAAAACACTATCGGTTGGTTTTAGGGAAGGAGGTGGGCGGGTCAATTGTTGCTTTTGAAAACACTATCGGTTGGTTTTAGGGAAGGAGGTGGGCAGGTCAATTGTTGCTTTTGAAAACACTATCGGTTGGTTTTAGGGAAGGAGGTGGGCGGGTCAATTGGTGCTTTTGAAAACACTATCGGTTGGTTTTAGGGAAGGAGGTGGGCGGGTCAATTGGTGCTTTTGAAAACACTATCGGTTGGTTTTAGGGAAGGAGGTGGGCGGGTCAATTGTTGCTTTTGAAAACACTATCGGTTGGTTTTAGGGAAGGAGGTGGGCGGGTCAATTGGTGCTTTTGAAAACACTATCGGTTGGTTTTAGGGGAGGAGGTGGGCGGGTCAATTGTTGCTTTTGAAAACACTATCGGTTGGTTTTAGGGGAGGAGGTGGGCGGGTCAATTGTTGCTTTTGAAAACACTATCGGTTGGTTTTAGGGAAGGAGGTGGGCGGGTCAATTGTTGCTTTTGAAAACACTATCGGTTGGTTTTAGGGAAGGAGGTGGGCGGGTCAATTGGTGCTTTTGAAAACACTATCGGTTGGTTTTAGGGAAGGAGGTGGGCGGGTCAATTGGTGCTTTTGAAAACACTATCGGTTGGTTTTAGGGAAGGAGGTGGGCGGGTCAATTGGTGCTTTTGAAAACACTATCGGTTGGTTTTAGGGAAGGAGGTGGGCGGGTCAATTGGTGCTTTTGAAAACACTATCGGTTGGTTTTAGGGAAGGAGGTGGGCGGGTCAATTGTTGCTTTTGAAAACACTATCGGTTAGGAACTGGGAAGGGTGTGGCCGAACGATTGGTCGGCTGGTCAGTTAGTTGGTTAGTTAGTCAGTCAACAGCGGCCTCTGGTGGATTTACATGAGAACAGCAGGCGTGAATGGCACTCACGAGGGAAATTTGAGATCTGAAAAAGCGTACACAGCGGCCTCTGGTGGATATGCGAGAACAAAAACTGCAAAAAAAAAAAAACATAACTCCTGGGCTGTATTTGGCGCTCTCCAGAAATTTATGCAGGGGTACGTACCTACAATGAGCCTGGGTTGGTTATAGAAAATCATTTGTGTGGTATTTTTAGCTAATACTTCACATACACACTTTGAGGACTTATTTTACATCTTACACATAATAGGTCCCCTTTAAATCTTCAATAAGCACAGCTCTGGCCCTTTGTAATGCTACTCCACCGCATTCAAAGTTCAAGCTTTGGTTTTGCCATTGAAGGAGAGGAAATGCTCGATCCAGTGCACATTATGTCATAAATGACCTGGCAGCGATCTGAAGACCAGACTCAAAACATGAGCTTGTATGCACCATTCGTCAGGAAGAGGATGTGTCTTAATCCACCGCTCAGATTTTCCATACAGCTCTGTGAAACTGTTAGATGCTCCTTCCTTCCTCAATTGTTTTTTCAATTTACAGTGTTCAGAGCTGCCCAAACTTCCAGTCTACGTCAAAATCGTGGAGGTCGGACCAAGAGATGGACTCCAAAATGAGAAGGTAGATAGCTTAGCATGTGTATGTTCACTGTCTGGTGTAATTACTGTAGTTATTATGTACTGAATGCACTGTAAAAAAATAATGACAACAAACATTTATATATTGCTTTAACTCATTTTGATAAGTTAATCAGGTTTCAGCTAAACATTTTTTAGGTTGTACAAAGTTTACCAGGTCCAGGATTACTTTTCACATTCAAAATGCTGATTTTTCATTGAGTCTGGGTTGTGTTTAGCAGATGCTACACTATTGTATAGATACATTGGAAAACTATTCTTTCAGTTCTGGTGGCAAGTAAATTATTCATTCATAGTGCATTATATCATCGTGCTGTCGTGGCTCACAGATGTGCACGCTACACGAATGCATTCATAGAATCCCAAGACTTTTGACGTCATTGTGCTTCTGCAGGAAATCGTGCCGACAGAGGTCAAAATCCAGCTGATAGACCTGCTTTCTCAGACTGGCCTGCCTGTGATCGAGGCCACGAGTTTCGTGTCTTCAAAGTGGGTTGCACAGGTAATGCTCAGTATCTCGTCCACACAAACCAACACTGCAAAAATGCATTTCTTTCTTAGTTTTTGTCTCGTTTGTAGTCCAAATAACTCAAATACTTAAAAACTTTTCAACAAAAAAGCGATAAGCTCTGCCTGAAAAGTCGCTAAAAATCGCTAGATTACATCATAAGTTAATTTGCATATTACTGACGTCATCACGTTCTACCATTTCTGTTTGTTTAACAGCCTGTGGTTAATAAAGGGGTATTAATATTTGCACTACGCTTTATGTAAGCATGTCAGTTTAACTGAACGTATTGCTGTTTAAATACAGTATATCATTATAGATGTGTTGTGAATTTGCAGTAATCTCTCAGACGTAATAAACTCAGACAAGTTCAGAAACTCTCACTTTAAATATCTGATTGTGAACAAGAAAAGAAAAAAAACGGTCAAGTTAAATTGTTGAAATAAAGGAGAAGCAGATCGGTTTGACTGAACAAGGGAAATACCTTCACACTGCCGGTGTTAAATCATTTGCCGTCGGTACGCAGAGGGGTGATCTGCTGTCAGGCTGCAGGTGGGAGAGGCTGCTGTACTGGACTGGGCCGGCTGTCAGTGCTCTGAGGCGGGGAGGGGCCGGCGGCATCACCCGCAGCTCGTTGAGAAGTATAGGCACAGTACACTATGGACATGACAGTCTATAAAAATGTCCAGTAACACACAAAAAAGGCGCTAGATTTGTCGCTAGTCGCTGTTTTAATAAATTTGTTGCTAGAGGGGTCTGAAAAATTGCTAAATCTAGCGGTCAAAGTCGCTAAGTGGGCAACACTGTACTTAAATCAAGAAGCATTTTCTAGACAAGCAATATATGTTGTCTTGTTTTCAGAAATTATAAGATCAAAAATCAAATAAAAAATAAGTGAGGTTTTCCTTAGAAGAAGCAAAATAATCTGCCAATGTGGTAAGGTAAATAATCTTGTTTTCACTTTGAAATAAGGGGAACATTTTACAATAAGAGTACTGTCAGGATTGGGGTGTAGGAAAGAGGCGAGGACTCCAAAATGCAAGAAATTAGATTTATTTATCTGTGATTATCTGAAATTACCCCATAGGGGGAAAAACATCAGCAAAACTGGACTGGGAAAACAGGACTGGACACAAGACAGGATGACTCCAAACACACCAAATGCAAGACAATGAACTGGCACAGGACAGCAGACAAGTGGGAGCTATAAGCATGGCCGGCGCGTCCATAGAGGCGACCTAAGCGGCCGCCTAGGGCAGCAAAATAGAGGGGACGGCGTCCCTGACACAACCCTCACCCCCCACGCCATCAGTTATATCCGCGTCTAGGGCGACAGAATAGAGAGGGCGGCCTCCGCGACACTTATCTCACCACCCGCGCCCTCAGTTATATCCGCATCTAGGGAGACAGAATAGAGAGAGCGGCGTCCCCGACTCTACCCTCACCACCCACGCCCTCAGTTATATCCACGTCTAGGGCGGCAGAAGAGTGCGGCGTCCGCGACACTACTCTTACCACCCGCGCCCTCTTCTATCCGCGTCTAGGGTGACAGAATAGAGAGGGTGGCGTCCGCGCACTATCCTCACCGCCCGCGTCCTCAGTTATATCCGCGTCTAGGGCGGCAGAAGAGGGCGGCGTCCGCGACACTACCCTCGCCACCCGCGCCCTCAGTTATATCCGGGTCTAGGGCGACATAATAAAGAGGGCGGCGTCCGCGACACTACCCTCACCACCCGCGCCCTCAGTTATATCCACGTCTAGGGCGGCAGAACAGAGAGGGCGGCGTGCGCGAGACTACCCTCACCACCCGCGCCCTCTTCTATCCGCATCTAGGGCGACAGAATAGACAGGGCGGCATCCGCGCACTACCCTCACCACCCGCACCCTCAGTTATGTCCGCGTCTAGGGCAGCAGAATAGAGAGGGCAGCGTCCGCAACACTACCCTCACCACCCGCGCCCTCTTCTATCTGCGTCTAGGGCGACAGAATAGAGAGGGCGGCGTCCGCGACTCTACCCTCACCACCCGCGCCCTCAGTTATATCCATGTCTAGGGCGGCAGAATAGAGAGGGCGGCGTCCCCGACACTACCCTCACCCTCCTCACCAACCACTTTAGGGTTGAGGGTGGCGTGACCGTCCTTTGCCTAGAGCGGCAGTTCAGCTTGCCTTGGCTAAAGGAGAAATAATTAACAAACAATCAGGTGAAAATATTAAGTGAAGTTTTTAAACTAATTTCGAGAGGAGCACGTGATATAATTGACCGCAGCTGGCCGCCTATCTACACTCATTAGTTAGCTAATCAGATCTATTCCAACTTACTATAAATAGCCTAGCTAGATATTACTCCCTTATCTTCGTTTTCCGAAGAAACCCCCCATCCACCCCCTATCTCCTCCTTTCCTCCCTTTAAAAAGGGGAGCTCTCGAGAACCACCTGATCTCGTACTCCCCTTACATGCTCTATGGACCTGGCGGGAGCCCTGGGCTCAACTATCTCCGAGCTCAGGGTTCTCTCCCGGGACAGCATGCCAAACCTGCTTACAGTCGTCAAGCAATATCTAAGTGTGAACTCTTGAAGTGAAGTTTTTAAACTAATTTCGAGAGGAGCACATCATATAATTGACCGCAGCTGGCCGCCTATCTACACTCATTAGTTAGCCAATCAGATCTATTCCAACTTACTATAAATAGCCTAGCTAGATATTACTCCCTTACCTTCGTTTTCCGAAGAAACCCCCCATCCACCCCCTATCTCCTCCTTTCCTCCCTTTAAAAAGGGGAGCTCTCGAGAACAACCTGATCTCGTACTCCCCTTACATGCTCTATGGACCTGGCGGGAGCCCTGGGCTCAACTATCTCCGAGCTCAGGGTTCTCTCCCGGGACAGCATGCCAAACCTGCTTACAGTCGTCAAGCAATATCTAAGTGTGAACTCTTGAAACTAATAACGGGATAACAAGGAGGGTGGAACTAGACAATTGCACGGAGAGCACATGACACAATGAGACAACACAAGCTGTTTTCACAGTTGCTATTCATGTTCAAAAACGAGACTTCTTACTGGTTTCTTTTTAAAAAAAACATTTCAGATGGCCGACCACACCGCAGTGCTGAAAGGGATTAAAAGGTCTCCTGACGTTAGATACCCGGTTCTGACTCCCAATATTCAGGGCTTCCAGGCAGCCGTAAGTAAATATTTGCGTCATTTACATTTATTTACAAGTGACATTTGCAATTCACCTTCCATGCCAGGTCAATGATGTTTCTCTTGTATAATAAACCGCTTTATTTATGCACGCGGGCCTGCCTACGCTTCCCCCTGCCACTTTTCTTCTCAACCTTTAGCATCGCGCACTGTCTATTTGTAAATGTTTAGCTCATTTCTGTTAATTGCTTTGCTTGCTAATCAGGCATGTCTATAAGCAGAGGCTTGATGAAATGTTTCCTGTTAAAGGTTGCAGCGGGAGCCAATGAAGTGGCAGTGTTTGGTTCTGCATCAGAGACGTTCAGCAGGAAAAACATCAACTGCTCCATAGAGGAGAGCTTGCAGAGGTTCGAGCAGGTCGTTTCTGCAGCCAAACAGGAAGGCATACCAGTGCGCGGGTGCGTCTCATTCAACAATTTGCTTTGAGATTGTATTAAAGAGTATTTGAAAATATTCACCCTTCGAATTCATAACCTGTTAATGTATTTTTATGTCATGACTGGGCCCACATGCAGTCGAGTGCAGAAATCCACAGATTTTCAGCCCATCATTGGGTCTGTTTATTTACTTGTGTAATTGTGTGTAATTTTATATTTATTTACTTTTTAAATTAATTTTAGTAGTAATATTGACTAATTTGAACATATTCATATGATTTATTTACAGTACAGTTTGTGAAGTAATATTTTCTGTCTTTCAGCATATTATTGACCTGGTTCTGTTCAAATGGTGTCATGTAATTCCATATTTGAGATGGTAACACAACTACTACAGTAGTTGATCTGTTTGGTAAATCTATAGTTGCTATGGTAACACAACAATTACAGTAGTTGATCTGCTGTGGTAATTCTGTAGTTTCTATGGCAACACAACAACTAGTAGTTGATCTGTTGTGGTAATTCTATAGTTGCTATGGTAACACAACAACTATTGTAATTGATCTGTTGTGGTAATTCTGTAGTTGCTATGGTAACACATGAATTACAGTAGTTGATCTGTTGTGGTAATTCTATAGTTGCTATGGTAACACAACAATTACAGTAGTTGATCTGCTGTGGTAATTCTGTAGTTGCTATGGTAACACAACAATTACAGTAGTTGATCTGCTGTGGTAATTCTGTAGTTGCTATGGTAACACAACAATTACAGTAGTTTGATCTAATGTGGTAATTCTGTAGTTGCTATGGTAACACAACAATTACAGTAATTGATCTAATGTGGTAATTCTGTAGTTGCTATGGTAACAACAACTATAATAGTTGATCTGTTGTAATTCTGTAGTTGCTATGGTAACACATCAATTACAGTAGTTGATCTGATGTGATAATTCTGTAGTTGCTATGGTAACACAACAACTATTGTAATTGATCTGTTGTGGTAATTCTATAGTTGCTATGGTAACACAATATTTTTAGTAGTTGATCAGTTGTGGTAATTCTATAGTTGCTATGGTAACAACAACTAATAGTTGATCTGTTGTGGTAATTTTATAGTTGCTATGGTAACAACAACTATATTAGTTGATCTGTTGTGGAAATTCTATAGTTGCTATGGTAACAACAATTATGGTAGTTGATCTCTTGTGGTAATTCTATGGTTGCTATGGTAACACATGAACTAGTAATTGATCTGTTGTGGTAATTCTATGGTTGCTATGGTAAAACTTGAACTATAGTAATTGATCTCTTGTGGCACTTCTATGGTTGCTATGGTAACACATCAAGTGCAGTGGTTGGTCTTTTGTGGTAATTGTATAGTTGCTATGGTAACACAACAGCTACAGTAGTTGATCTGTTGTGGTAATTCTATAGTTGCTATGTGGTTTATATTATTGTTCTGGTTTTGTTCAAAATGACGTGACACCAGTTCGTTCTTCAATTACGCTCAATGTGTGTCAGGGCCTTCAAGTTACTTGCAGATTTCTTTGACAGCACAGTTTACTCATAAAGCTGACCCCATTGTGCTCATTCGCTCCACATGGATATATTCCCCTGTACTGAGTCACCACCCGGCTAAGACAGGAGCAAACATTTCTGTTTATATAAGCAGTGTCTGGGATCCATCTTTGGTGGAACACTGAGCAGAAAGAAGTTTGCAGAAGTTTGATCAGGAGGAAGATGAAGGCACATGTTGAGTGTGCCACAGACGCAGTGTTTCCTTTGAGGAATAGGTTCATTATGTACACTTCAAAAAGGACCTATTATGCAAAAATCTGTTTTATAGGGGGTTTAAGCACGGCTGTGAGGAAGCAGTGTGTTAACATAACCAACTTTTAATGGTAAAAAATAATTCTATTTTTAATAATTGCACTTCATGAAAACAGTCTGCAAAAAGCACTTTGATTGACATTCACTTTTTGTACGTGTCATCAGAGGGGGAAAGCCCCGCCCACTAGTGATGATCTCTCCTTCATTAGCATAAACAGCCCTGAGTGAGAAGCAGTCATGTGCCAATAGAGTTTTGACCTGCTGATGATCATGTCAGTGACTTAGAGCAGTAGTTCACAAACTGTGGTACGTGTACCACTAGTGGTACGCGGGCTTCCCTCTAGTGGTACGCGTAGGAATTAAATATGTCATGTGCTACGTGTATTTTAAAAATGATCAAAAATGATTTGTTTATCAATGTGATGACATATACCCTATATTTATGAGGTCCAAGCAACATCCCCAGATTTTAATGAATTGGCTACTATATGTTAATACTTTACATTTAAGTACAGAATGTTTTTTTTTTTTTACTTTTTAAGAACATTAATCTACCATTTTGTAACTTTTAAAAGCACATTTTAATTTAAATATTGACGTTTTTACTTTTTTTGTTTGTTTTACCTCAAAGCACAGCACAGTGCTAAATTCAGACTATTTATAATGTTTAAAGTGGCTGACAATAATAAATATTCTTAATAATAGAAATCAATCTGCCATGTTTTTGAACTGTGCAGAGTTGTAGCTGCTTTACGTGGCCTACTTTGCTACTGTATTTCAATACTGCTCATTATGATGGTACTTGGAGAGACGATATTTTTCTGAGGTGGTACTTGATGAAAAAGGTTTGAGAACCGCTGACTTAGAGGATTATAAGTGTGGAGTTTTAGATGAAGACAAATGAATCTGCCATTATGCTGACACACAGGCACTTTGCCCTCTGCCCTTTTTAAAAAAAATAATTTGAATTTAAAGTGACAGTCTCCAAAGCAGCACTAATAGGATCAAAGCCTAAGAGTTATAAAACATTTGTGTGGTATTTTGAGCTGAAACTTTGTATAAAGCAACATAATAGGTTCCCTTTAAATCTGAATGAGGATCAGGCCAGCGATCTGCCTATGACTGTGGAAAAGTTATATTTATTATATTTATAAAGGATTATATTTGCTCAAAGGGTTGCTTCTGCAAAGCAGATAAAGATCTGGGCTGGTAAAGGGAAGCTTGTAGGCAAGATTGTAACCTCATATTCAGGAACTGACTGTAATCGCACATTCAAACCTCCTTCAGGAATGACATGCTTTCAAAATAGTTTGTGTTGAACTTGCAGGATCCAAAAGTGCATTATTAAAGGCACTATACACTCACCGGCCACTTTATTAGGTACACCTCACTAGTATCGGGTTGGACCCCCTTTTGCCTTCAGAATCCTTCGTGGCATAGATTCAACAAGCTACTGGAAATATTCCTCAGAGATTTTGCTCCATATTGACTTGATAGCATCACACAGTTACTGCAGATTTGTCGGCTGCACATCCATGATGCCAATCTCTCATTGTCATTGCACCACCATCAGCCTGAACTGCTGATACAAGGCAGGATGGATCGATGCTTTCATGTTGTTGAGGGCAAATTCTGAGCCGAGCATCCGAATGTGTCAGCAGAAATGGAGACTCATCAGAGCAGCAACGTTTCTCCAATCTTCTATTGTCCAGTTTTGGTGAGTCTGTGTGAATTGTAGCCTCAGTTTCCTGTTCTTAGCTGACAGGAGCGGCACCCGGTGTGCTCTTCTGCTGCTGTAGCCCATCCGCCTCAAGGTTGGACGTGATGTGTGTTCAGAGATGCTCTTCTGCAGAGCTCGGTTGTAACGAGTGCTTATTTGAGTTACTGTTGCCTTTCTATCAGCTGGAACTAGTCTGGCCATTCTCCTCTGGCATTAACAAGGCATTTGCGTCCACAGAACTGCCGATCACTGGATATACCCTCTTTTTCAGACCATTCTCTGTAAACCCTAGAGATGGTTGTGCGTGAAAATCCCAGTAGATCAAGTTTTTGAAATACTCAGAGCAGCCCGTCTGGCAGCAACAACCATGCCACGTTAAAGTCACTTAAATCCCCTTTCTTCCCAATTCTGATGCTCAGTGTGAACTGCAGCAGATCGTCTTGACCATGTCTACATGCCTAAATGCATTGAGTCGCTGCCATGTGATTGGCTGATTAGAAATTTGCGTGAACGAGCAGCTGGACAGCTGTACCTAATAAAGTGGCCGGTGGGTATATGTATGTCTCTTTCATTCAAATATCCATTCAAATAACCACATGAATAATGTTATATATTTTTCTGATTTTTATTTTACCAAATGTTTCGTAGAATAACAAGCGATATTAATCTAAACGAATATAATGGTCACACTTTATTTTAACACACAGTTCACCCTATTAACAAACCATTAGCTAAGACTTGATAATAGTTAGTAAGGTGCAGCACTGTGGCAAAGTGAGTAGCGCTCTCGCCTCACAGCAAGAAGGTCACTGGTTTGAGCCTCGGCTGGATCAGTTGGCATTTCTATGTGGAGTTTGCATGTTCTCCCCGTGTTGGCGTGGGTTTCCTCCGGGTGCTCCGGTGTCCTCCACAAATCCAAAGACATGCAGTATAGGTGAATTGGGTAAGCTAAATTGTCTGTAGTGTATGTGTGTGAATGAGAGTGTATGGGTGTTTCCCAGTGATGGGTTGCAGCTGGAAGAGCATATAAAGTATGCTGGATAAGTTGGCGGTTCATTCCGCTGTGGCTTCCCTAGATTAATAAAGGGACTAAGCCGAAAAGAAAATGAATGAATGAATAGTCAGTAAGGTAGTAGTTGGGTTTAGGTATTAGGGGTGTAAAATAAGATACTTTATAAGTTCTAATAAAGTTCATATCTTAATAATAAGCCAGTAGTAATGGTGCTAAATGGTTACGTAAACTGAAGTGTTACCAGTATAATAATAAACTGCCAGCATGAGGCGAGAGTTCTGTGCTGAATGACCGCTGGACTTCAATTACATCAATGTAGCTTTCAGCAGCAGATCTTCGGTTTGACCAAAAGGCCAGTGGTTTCTTTTATTTTTGTACTTGGACTCTTCTCCGTTGAGGTTTTGAGACGGGGCACCGGAGCAGCATGAAATTATTTCAGAATTAATGAGTAAATAATTCAAGTTCCAGATGTGCGCGCAGTGTGTTGTGCTTTGTATCAGTTACAAGTACAAGTCCAGATGTGTGTCCGAGCTGAGGCTTTTCTGAATGAAAAAAATAAAACCGATAGAGAGCAGTCACTTCACTCTGGCAAATGTGACTCAACGCCTAATAATCACACGGAAATTCTGGTAGCACACAGAAGTATCATCTGACCACCATATAAGCCCGAGAGAAACATTTTCAACTCTTCGCTTGCCTGTCCGCTGTGTCTAGCAGAACACGTTTCCTTCACATATGGAAAGCGCATATAGCTGGTACTGCAACATCTCTCATTCCCTCTGTCAACACTATTGCTCCTATTTGTCACAACCGTTTGACACCAGCTATACGTCTCGCCCGTGGCTGAACATTGTGTTTTATTTTTCGTGATAGATGTAATCCTCTGTAAGAGCAGTTTTTGGCTGCTCGTGCGGATGCAGTAAAACAGCACTTGGCGTTATTTCCCCATTGTGGTATATTGTGAGCTATATATCCTATAACTTTACCACTCTTCTCTTTCCAGGTATGTTTCCTGCGCTCTCGGCTGTCCCTATGAAGGACAAGTAAAACCCTCACAAGTCACGAAGGTATTGTAATATATTTGTTTAGTCGGAATTAAATCTGTTCTAGTATGTGATAAATTCATCTGAAAGCCCGCATGACACAAAAACTTAATTTATAGTAAATATTATAATGTTTTGAAATTTTATAGCACTTTAGTAGAGTACTTCAATTAATCTGTTATGGCAATGATATTATTGCTATGGTAACAGTTAATCTGTAATGGTAATTCTATAGTTGCTATGCCAACACAACAGCAATAGCAGTTGGTCAGTTGTGGTAATTTTATTGTTGCTATGGCAACACAACAACTGTAGTAATTGATCTGTTATGGTTATTCTATAGCTGCTATGGCAACACAACAACAATAGCAGTTGGTCTGTTGTGGTAATTCTGTAGTTTCTATGGTAACACATCAACTACAGTAGTTGATCTGTTGTGGTAATTATAGTTTCTGTGGTAACAACAACTATTGCAATTAATTTGTAGTGGTAAATCTTATAGTTGCATTGGCAACAACAACTATAATAATTGATCTGTTGTGGTAATTCTATGGTTGCTATGGTAACACATCAAGTACAGTGGTTGATCTGTTGTGGTAATTGTATAGTTGCTATGGTAACACATCAACTATAGCAGTTAATCTGTTGTGGTTATTGTATAGTTGCTAAAGTAACATAACGACTATACTAATTGGCCTTTTGTGGTAATTCTATAGTTGCTATGGTAACACATCAACGACTGGTAATTTGTCTGTTGTGGTAATTCTATAGTTGCTATGTTAACAACAAATACAGTAGATTATCTGTTGTGGTAATTCTATAGTAGCTATGGTAACACATCAACTATAGTAGTTGATCTGTTGTAGTAATTCTATAGTTGCTATGGTAACACATTAACAACTAGTAATTGGTCTGTTGTGGTAATTGTATAGATGCTATGGTAACTCATCAATTGTAATAGTTGATCTGTTGTAATTATATTGTTGCTATGGTAACTTAATGACTATATTAATGGGTCTATAGTTGCTATGGTAACACATTAACAACTAGTAATTGGTCTGTTGTGGTAATACTATAGTTGCTATGGTAACACATCAACTTTAATAGTTTATCTGTTGTAATTATATTGTTGCTATGGTAACTTAACGACTGTAATTGGTCTATTGTGGTAATTCTATAGTTGCTATGGTAACACATCAACAACTATAGTAATTGATCTGTTGTGGTAATTGTATAGTTGCTATGGTAACACATTAATAGTAACAGTTGATCTCTTGTGGTAATACTATAGTTGCTATGGTAACACATCAACTATAATAGTTCATCTGTTGTAATTATATTGTTTCCTATGGTAACTTAACTACTATAATAACTGGTATATTGTGGCAATTGTATAGTTGCTATTGTAACATGTCAACTATAATAGTTAATCTGTTGTAGTAATTCTATTGCTGCTATGGTAACGGAAAACCATATAATCTAACTTATTTTATGAAAAAAAGAGAAAAATATATGAAGAATGTAGACACTTTTCTTTCAATTAAAAATGAAGTGTAACATATTTTGGCAGAAAATGAAAGAAAATGTTTCATGTTTATACAGATAATTATGTTTTTGTTCTCGACTGAATGGGTTTGGCTGTAAAAACCCTATCTACAGGTAGTTCTCTAAACCGCTCCAGATCAGATTTTCTGCCACAGAATGAGTGCTTGTGAGTTTTGTGTTGATTATTAATTTATTTTAATTCATTTTCCAATAACCACTTTTGTTTTTTCATTTAATCCTTCGTGTTTTTCATTTCAAATAACAATTTTTGACCACTACTTAGCTAAAATATACATGGAGCTCTCTCTCTACATATACTTTTTGTTTCTTCCTACAATGTTTGTAGTCCCCCAAGGCCCCTTATTACGATGTTTGCTGAAAATCCTGCATGACGCTGTAAGACGTGCAGTGCTTTTCTAGCGCTCAGAAAGAGCTCTCTGTGTGCACTCCTTCATCTTGTTTATATTTCCAGGGGGAATAGTGTTTTCATGGCTTTTTTTCCCTCTGTTCCGGCCCAGGTGGCGAAGCGCTTGTTTGAGCTGGGCTGTTATGAGGTTTCCCTGGGGGACACCATTGGCGTGGGCACTGCGGGCTCCATGGCTGAGATGCTGAGCGATGTGTTGACAGAAGTGCCCGCTGGTGCATTGGCGGTGCACTGCCATGACACTTACGGTCAGGCGCTGCCCAACATACTCATAGCTCTGCAGGTGAGAGATATTGCGGTGGTCAGACTCATGAAAAGGCTTCTTCATATACACACTCAGAAAAAAATACAACACCTTGTCACTGTGGCAGACCCCTTTAAAGGATGGTTCACCCCAAAATTATAATGTACTCACTATTTACTCACTCAAATAGTTATAAACAGGGTGCATATTATATATTGACGATTAGGAGGTCAATCGTTAAGGTAATTTTAGTTTTTAGTTTTTTTTTTTTAGTAATTTTAATTTTCCTTTTTAATTATTTACTAAATTATGTTGAACAGACTCAGGAATTTTTCACAGTGTTTCCTCTAATATTTTTTCTTCTGGAGAAAGTCTTAATTGTTATATTTTAACTACAATAAAATCAGCTTTTATTATTTTAAACCCATTTTAAGGTCAATATTATTAGCCCCCTTAACCAATATTTGTTTTGGATTGCCTCCAGAACAAACCCCTATTATACAATAACTTGTGTCACAGTCACCAGCGATCTAGCCCATGCAGATCGCTGGAGAACTACAAATCTGCCAGCAAGAGAACTACATATCCAGTCATGCACCACACACTCACACCGGTTCCTGACTGATTGCAAACACACAGGCGGAGGATTGCCAAAGACTTATTATATGGACTTTATAAAACGGATCCAAATGCATGTTTAGCATGATGGTCAGGCAAGCAAAAGTCAACACAGAGGTAAACAGATGTATACAGGGAATCCAGAGACGTAGTCAAAACACATGCGAATAGTCAGTACAGGCAGGCAGCAGGCAACGTTAACAAACAAAGCAATGGTCTAACACGGAAAGGCAAGGAAACCACGACGTAATGTTCACAAACAGCATAACAAGACTCAGCAATGTGTGTGTGTGTGTGTGTTTCAGAGGTGTACAAACTCTCTGTGTGATTAGCCTTGAACAGCTTCAGCTGTGTCTATTTGCAATGATGGGGATCTTGGGAGGGTGTGTGAGTGGTGCATAACTGGATATGTAGTTCTTTTGCTGGCAGATGTGTAGTTCTCAAGCTATCTACATAGGCCAGATCACTAGTGACTGTGAAAACCTGCCTAATTCCCCTAACTTTATCCTAATTAACCTAGTTAAGCATTTTAATGTCACTTTAAGCTAAATACTAGTGTCTTCAACAATATCTAGTCAAATATTATGTGCTGTCATCATGGCAAAGATTTTTAACAACAGTTGTTTGCTTAATTAGCTTAATTTGTGTTGTAACAACATGAAAGAATTGTGTGGAACAATATGTACAGTTGAAGTCAGAAGTATTAGCCCCCCTGACTTATTAGCACCCCTGTTTATTTTTCCCTAAATTTTTGTTTAATGGAGGGAAGATTATTTCAGCACATTTCTAAGCATAATAGTTTTAGAAACCTATCTCTTATAACTAATTTATTTTATCTTTGTCATGATGACAAAGATAATATTTTACTTGATATTTTTCAAGACACTTCTGTACAGTTTAAATTGACATTTAAAGGCTTAACTAGGTTAATAAGGTGAACTAGGCAGGTTAGGGTAGTTAGGCAAGTTATTGTATAGCGATGGTTTGTTCTGTAGACTATTGAAAAAAAATTAACTTAAAGGGGCTAATAATTTTGTCCCAAAATTGTTTTTTAAAAATTAAAAACTGCTTTTATTCTAGCCGAAATAAAACAAATAAACTTTCTCCAGAAAAAAAAAATATTATCAGACATACTGTGAACATTTCCTTGCTCTGTTAAACATAATTTGGGAAATATTTAAAAAAGAAAAAAAAATCTAAAGGGGGCTAATAATTCTGACTTCAACTGTATATATATCTTACAGTGTATGCATGCATTTGGATGTAGCGATAGAGAAACGTGAGCCAGAAGTTCACAGTCTCACACTGCCTCAAGCACACACACACACACACACACACACACACACACACACACACACACACACACACACACACACGCACTGAATCCTCCAGAGAGCTAAACAAAAGCTACTGAAACACCTCCAACACCCCCCCTGGAGGATCAGCCAATAAACGCTTTTTTTTTCCACCCAAAAGAGCAACAACAACAGTCACCACCCAAAATATGCTCACCGTACACCACACAGCCATCAGAATGTGCCAACTCGACTCTTTCATGCCTGCTTGTGGTCACTACAGCGCAATCACCACCAACTATTCCAGCATAAGTTTTCCGCAGCAGATGCCCTATAGCCGCAACCCAATACTGGGAAACACCCATACACTCTCACATTCACACATACACACACTTATACAGCCAATGTAGTTAATCAATTCCCCTATAGCGCATGTGTTTGGACTGTGGGGGAAACCGAAGCACCCACACCAACACAGGCAGAACTCCACACAGAAACGCCAACTGACCCGGGACTTGAATCAGCAACCTACTTGCTGTGAGGCGACAGTGCTGACCACTGAGCCACCGGGCTGCTCATGATCTGATTATATTAAGCAGAACTCAAATCGAGTTATTAATGACTTTAATTATATTTATTGTGTTAACTCTAATGCCAGAAGCAATTGCAAAGCATTTGAGTATACTGTATAAGCTAGTTGTTTGGACTTAATTTGTTTAAGTTGACTGAACAACTCATATCAATTTGATAACTGAACTTCAAGTTTAAGTTACTAATACTCTAAATGTTTAACGATGTAAACACAAATAACATACACTCTCAGAAAAAATGGTACAGTGTTGTACCAAAGAAGGTGCAAACCCTTGTCCCTGGGGCGGTACCTGTTCATGGAACAGAATTATACCTTAAGACAGGCGTGTCCAAACTACGGCCCGCGGGCCATCTGCGGCCCGCAATCAGTTTTGTGGCGGCCCGCGTGGCTTTTTATAAATATCAATAGAATCTGGCCCGCTATACAAAAATGAACGTAAATCAATAAATAACCACCGGGTGTCGCTATTACATGCATTCAATTAAGCAGCAGTTCTTGTTATGATCTATCTATCTATCTATCTATCTATCTATCTATCTATCTATCTATCTATCTATCTATCTATCTATCTATCTATCTATCTATCTATCTATCTATCTATCTATCTATCTATCTATCTATCTATCTATCTATCTATCTATCTATCTATCTATCTTTCTGTCTGTCTGTCTGTCTGTCTGTCTGTCTGTCTGTCTGTCTGTCTGTCTATATACACACAGTTGAAGTCTGAATTATTAGCCCCTCTTTGATTTATTTCTTCTTTTTTAAATATTTCCCAAATGATGTTTAACAGAGCAAGGACATTTTCACAGTATGTCTGATAATATTTTTTCTTCTGGAGAAAGACTTATCTGTTGTATTTCGGCTAGAATAAAAGCGGTTTTAATTTTTTTATGAACCATTTAAGGTCAAAATTATTAGCCCCTTAAGTCTTCCGAACAAACCATTGTAATAAAATAACTTGCCTAATTACCTTAACTTGTAACTTGATTAACCTAGTTAAGCCTTTAAATGTCACTTTAAGCTGTATAGAAGTGTCTTAAAAATATCTAGTCAAATATTATTTACTGTCATCATGGCTAAGATAAAATAAATCAGTTATTAGAAATGAGTTACTAAAACTAATATGTTTTGAAATGTGTGGAAAAAAATCTTCTCTCCATTAAACAGAAATTGGGGAAAAAATAAACAGGGGCTAACAATTCTGACTTCAACTGTATATATATATATATATATATATATATGTGTGTCTGTGTGATGTGTGTAAAATTTGGCCCGCAACAACGTTGTTTTTTTTTGCATCTGGCCCTCGGCCCAAAAAGTTTGGACACCCCTGCCTTAAGACAAAGAAACTAATTTGTACCATTGCAGTTAAAAAGTTCATTTAATTTACTTAATAGAAATATAATTAAGCAAAAGTATTCTAATGAGATGTGCACAATGCTTGATTAGCTTTATAATACTAAAACGTCTGCATGAACACTTTGGATTTTGCCAGCTCACGTGTGTAGTGGAAAGCAAACGCCAAAAGGTGCAGATATCAATAATGAAAATGTGTTCATCAGAAAATGCTCACCAAATGTTTATTAAAAATGACTTAAATGTTTAGTTTACAATAGCTGTAGTTGTGTTTTACAAGTTGTTATTATAGTTATTATAGAATTTAATAATTAATGTTTATGAGTTTCTTCAGAGATGGGAAGTAACGAAGTACAAATACTTTATTACAGTACTTAAATAGATTTTTCTAGTATTAGTGCTTTACTCCACTACTTATTTTTTTTGACAACTTTTTACTTCTACTTCTTAGATTTTTACACAAAAATCTGTACTTTCTACTCCTTACATTTTTAAAACCACCGTTACTTTCGTTTTCATGTGTTTGGTGGCGCGATCTATATTATTTTCCGATGTCATTGCGCAATAATATGAGCGCCTTTTTGATGCAGTCAGTCTATTTTTCCTCATTGTGCTTGCGTGCTGCACTGCGCAGCCTTTTCAAGGCTATCGTGCACCGAATGTGGGCTAGTCTATGAAGATACTATGAGAGAGGCAAGGATGACTTCGCAGATGTGAGAGAGTCAGCGAATTTAACAGACTGATGATGCTGCCCTGTTCACAGAGTAATAAGACGCCTTTTGCTTGATCGGATCACAGGTAAACAAGAGAGACACATTCCAGTTCAAAAACAGGCCGTTTAAATACTAAAAACCTTATGTCCACGTCCGATCCAGCATCATCTCACAAGCAAACGTTAGTATTTTACGTTTTGTCCGTTTAGTGGCTAACTCATACAAGTTCAATTGTATGAAAATGTACGATGTTAAAAAGGAGGCGTGGCACCAAACCCCAGCCCTAACCACAACCGTCATTGGGTGATGAGCAAGTCGTACTAAATTGTAAGAATTAGATCATACAAATTCATACGAATTTTGCCACTAAATCAAAATTGCTGTGAGATTGCATTGTCCGATCATCATGCACTGGCTTTCAATCTAATACAGCGAAATATAGTGCTTTTTTTGTAAAGATTT